GGGCGTCTGCCGAACCACTGAAACACTTTAGCGGGAAGTGTGGGTAGTAAATGCCACGGATCCCAAACTCAGCACAGTGGTGTGTTTTACAAAGTGGGCCCGCTGTAAAGTGGCTGTAAAGCCCCATTGATTGTGTGGTTTATAGTGGCGCCATCGCAAGTGCCGGGGTTAATTATCTGATGGGAGGCCAGTAATTTATTGTGCTTTGTTTTAGAGCCGTTAATGCCTCTCCTCGGCGCACGACTGTTGCCTGTTGGGACGGTTCGTTTTCCATTCATTTACGAAAACATGAATGCGGGTGTCTAACAAGCGGCTAAGGCTCCGATTGGGTGAGTTGAAATTGACTCAATCGTAGACTTAGCCCGTAATGCCTGTTGATGTGAGTCGTAATTGGATGTTTCGTTCCTTCCCTTCGCTTGATCGTTGTTGGAAAAAAATTGATTGCCCCACTTGTCAAGCTCAGTGTGGATATTCGAAGGACGCGAGGTCACCGCTATTCCCAAGTGAGACACAAATACAGACAAATGACAACTGATGTAGAATGAATGAATGATGATGAAACATTTGAAAACGATGTGAAAAAAATATGCTAGAGAACATGGGCATAGGAACCTCACGAAAAGTGTGTGTGTGTGGGGGGGGGGGGCAGCGAAACTTTAATGTCACTTTGTGGGAACCCCATTACCCCTATGAAGAAGCTCTTTACAGTTTTGTGCTCATCTCACCCTGCTGAGCCATTTCCTGCTCTTAGTTTTGTATTTAAATAAAACAGAAAGATTTTACTTAAAAATGTCTGAAAAGTGGGGGCTTGGCCCCCTGCCCCCTCCTGTTCCTACGCTTATGCTAGAGAAGGAACGGAATAAGGTAGACTATCCCGGAGCCCTGCGGATAAAAAACTACTGTTATTTCTCTGAACGTATGATACATTGCTGGATGACAGACAGCCACATTCACAAAGTGCAAAGCTTGTAAATCTTTTATATGTTCCGGGCATGCTTCTTGTAGGTTATAGTAGGTAGGTAGGTATATATAAAACAAAAAGGGCATATTTCATAAAATGTTTCCGTACATTTTGAAGAAAAAAACGAAGTAGAGGGTCCTTGGTGAATGCTGGGCGCACCGGAACCAACAAACCGACTAGAAGCTAGGTTTTCGTATGTCCTCACACTTACATATATGTCTGTCTGTGAAGTGTCTGCTGTGGTCAAATAGGTACAAATGCTCACTTCACTAGCAGTGCACGCTACTAGTTCGATTCGATTCCGCGTGGCAGCGCCACCGGGCGGACCAGTGTCTTAGCAGCCGCCTGCCACCTACTGGCTAGACTGTACCGCAATGCAGGGATGCCGGGCGGCGCAGCGTCCAAACGGAATAGGACTGCAGGGAGCCTTGACAGAGGAAAACGAACGAGAGTGACAACTGGCGATATCTATGTATTTATGCGTTTGCGAACGGCCTTTGGCCTCCGTTCGTAGATTGGCTTGCTGACAGTCACAGGAGCTAATTGTTCAGTTTTACATAAAAGTTCCATCTAAGGGTAATTTGCCTCATGTAGCTGAAGACGAAACTAGTGAGAAAATGTGATGTGCTGCCTGCACTTACGTTCTATGCATGAGTCCTTTTCTGGTGTCCTTGTCTCAGGGAACATATGACTTATTGACTGAATGAATAAGTCATATGTGGGAACACGTGATGAGTCGCGACCTTGGGCTGGTGTGATTGGAAAACACACCATTTCATCGCCGCCGGCCTGTATTGACAACTCTGATAAAAAGGTATTACATGGCATTACCTACATGACAATTAAGTGCGACTAGCCTGAAGGAAACAAACTGGTAGTGAAGAGCAGCGTAGCTTTAGACGACACATGACCCTAAGCCGACACGTTTTCGGATTTTTCATCGTGATTTCATATGACGAACTCCTCGCTACGAAAATATGTCATCGTTTATACTGCCGCTCTTTGATTTATGAGTATTGCCCCGACTTTCTGACGCGTCATCCGGGAAGTATTTTAGGAAGTCATCTCATCTCCGGGGTTCATAATTTCCAGGATATTCACATAGTTCATCCGTGCTGAGTTATACCACCCGCTACCAACTCCCGCTGCCAATATTCGCTCTGACCAACGCCACCACTCCTGGCGTCCGGAGTGTGCCTTACTGCTGTCTGTGCGCCCGATATGCGTCCCGGGTCATTATTGTGGACCCGTGACGTCACTGGGGTGCCTACTCAGCAGTGTGGTGGCAGTCTTTGTGCGCGGTTCCTAGGGGAGCGCAGCGCATTATTCCGGGAGCCCGGTGCGTCCTGCCAAGAGGAGCAGCGCTCGAGGGGGCGGCTCACCCCGTCGGGCGGTGCCAGCTAACCACACTCCGATCACGCAGGAGACAACCATCAGGAGACACCCCTGCGCCGGCCGCGCTTCCGGCCCATCTCCGCCACAGAGACTGGGGGAGACGCGGCCCGGATTGGTCATTACTGAGATCGGGTCATGTGGGGAGGAGCCAGTGTTTGTGACGGAAATCCGAGCGACGAACAAAGGAAAGCAGGCCGACGCTGCTTATTGCTGAAGCTTCTTTCTGCGCCTTACAACATTATTGATTCGATGCCAAGATAGCTACTTCCAGGAGAAAAGCAGTGTGTGGTTATCTAAATGGTCTCTGAAAAATATTTTGTTCCACAAAATTTCCCGCGTAGGGTTTCAACCGCCGACATAAGAGCCGAATATATCGTTGCAACCCGTCGTCCTTCATTCACCTTTTACGCAAGCTCAGTGCCAAACTGCGCGGGTCAGCCCTCGTGGTCATTTACAGCGTCCAGCACAGTGCAGTTACTGCCGCGGCGGCGACGTGGTCCCAGGCACGGACGTGATCCACATCTCAGCGTGTTTCTTATGTAGTCTGGGTATCGTCCGTCCGCCTGGCCTGGCTCACCGCGCCGCGGCCGCCCTGCCAGGCTGCGCGGTCGACGAAACGTAATAGACCAATCGGTGTGATTGCGAGGGAGAGGAGGGACAGAGGGACGGAGCGGGCAGAGAGTGGACAGAGGGGAGGGCAGGGGAGCGGGGGTGAGAAATGGAGGAGCTTACGTCGCGTGTCGGGCCGAGTTACGGGGAGATGGCTCATGTCGGCAGTTTCCGCGGCAGAGAGACGAGCCGGGATAAGCGGACCACCTGTTGATTGTGTGTCGGTTATTGTGGAGACGGATTACCTGAAGCTGGAGAACGGACAGATGGAATGGTGGAAAAACTTGATTGGGTTAGGGATAAAGAGATGATGGGACGAGGTATTAGTGGCGATGATACGAGACTCAGTGCTTCCTTTTGAAGTCATTAAAGGTAGTGTGCCACCTTTGAAAGATTTCCCATTTTATTTTTCCTAGGATAAGAAGCTTCTGTTTTTACCTAATATCGCAAAGAAAATCAAAAATGGGCCTGGAATAGTGCCTTTTTCGCCTAAAAGTTTATCGGTTTTTCGATATGTATAACAACTGTAGTGGGCTGACCTGCAAACAGGCGTCGGCAACAACCGCGAATGCGGCGCACATGTGACAATAAGCAAAGGTCATTATAGAGTTACGACGTACGGGAATGAGTTATCAGCTGTCTAATCGTAGACAACACAATGTCGAGCCTTAAACTGTAAGCCTGTATTGGTATTGTTTCTTTTATTTGGCTGTCGAACATTATTTATGGTTTGAAATATGATTTTATGTAAAATAATTGATATGAAAAAGCCGTCTCTTAAGTTATGACCCCATTTCACCACACGCAAGTGGCAGAAATGACAATGATCAGCTGACGCATTTTTCTTGGCCGAAGTCAGAGCGCGCGGCCCGACGCACCACCACCGCACCACAAAGTATGAGCAGAAGCCACGCCCAAAGCCAGGGCCCCGGTAACGTGAGGTAGCCGAGTCGGGGCAGCGTGCGCTGACCCAAGCCGGGGCCGCAGCTTTGGGCGCGGTCTACCGCATCCCCGCGGGCAGCCCCGGGCTATCACATGGCACCGGGAGGACGCGCGGCCCCGGCTTGGGTCAGCGCACGCTGCCCCGACTCGGCTACCTCACGTTACCGGGGCCCTGGCTTTGGGCGCGGTCTACCGCACCACCTAACAGGCGTGTTCGAAACCGCAGGAGATGATGATGAACGGGTTTATCGAAACTTGATTGGATGAGCATATCGGTAATAGCGATTTCAGTGTGTGCATTTATTGTTCATAGTGGTGTGAAATGTGGTTGGGGTACGACCGACAACCCGTCGGGGCGAATTTCGCACTGGGGTACTCAAAATTTGAAGAATTTAAGACGTTTCCATGAGTTTTGAAGGTATGGATAAGTTCTAAAAATCAGGTTCTCCTTATCTGGGCCATTAACTCCATACGGTCCAGGAAAGCTGGCACACTACCTTTAACACAGTTCTGTTTCGGAAGAAGCAGATTGCTTACAGCTTATCCGACCAAGATGATAACTCGTCTAATGCAGAGGACGCAATCTAACCAAAAAAACATAGCCACCTTCATTTCAGCTGAGCGCGAATCGAGTCTTCCCAATTCTACTATAAAACCGTCGTATGGGCAACCCTGTCCGACACACATCTTTGCGACTGTTGCGTCATGCGTGCATTGTGCTCACATTGTGCGCTGTATTGTATTTTGTTGTGATGTGATGGTGCGACAAAGTGTGCCGCTCAATGGTGTGAGCGAGCCGTTTCCAGCGTGACACTGCCGCTGAATTACTATTTGTGCTTGTTCACCCTACCGTGCTTTTCCCTCCCCCACCGTCTTTATGTTTAAGTGCGCACTGTCACATTCTCTGCTGACAGTTGTTCTCTCCTCTCTCTCTCTCTCTCTCTCTCTCTCTCTCTCTCTCTCTCTCTCTCTCTCTCTCTCCCTGATGACAGCTCTCCCTCTGACAGCCACTGCTCCTGCTGACAGTCACCCTCCCCCGGTGACAGTTGCTCTCTTCTCCCGCTGACAGTCGCTGGCTCTGCTCTGTCGACAGGCGGTGGTACGCAGACTCACGCTGTGGACGACGAGCACTCCAACAGCCGTCGTCAGATGCACAAGCTGCGCCGAGAGCGCAAAGCCATGCGCACGCTGGGCATTCTCATGGGCGCGTTCCTGTTCTGCTGGCTGCCCTTCTTCCTCTGGTACGTCACCGTCAGTCTCTGCGGCGACTTATGCTACACACCTCCGCTGGTGGAGTCTCTACTCTTCTGGATCGGCTACTTCAACTCTACCCTGAACCCTGTCATATACGCCTACTTTAACCGCGACTTCCGGTACGCGTTCCGCTCTATCCTAGGGAGCGTGCTGTGTCACCGCTGCTGCCAGCGCGACCCGTACCACGACATCTACATGCGCCGGCACTCGTATCCGACTGAGCTGCGCAGGGAGAGCGTGGTCAGCCAGGTGTACCAGCGGCGGCGCAGCTCGCTCTCCTCGGAGCTGTCGCAGGTGTCGGCTCTGGTGCGTCCTCCGGCCGGTACTCACCTGGGAGCCGAGCTGGAGCAGCCGGCCTCCGAGCCACGCAGTCCCACTGAGCAGGTGACCCTAGTGGTGCCGCCGCTGCCGGCCGCCAAGCCACCCCCGCCGCCGCCGGCTCCGCAGCAGCAGCCGCCGCAGCAGCCGCCGCGCAGTCCCAGCCGGCCAGCGCTGCGCATTAACCTGCTCAAAGGCCAGTTTCTGAACCGTGTGCCGCGCCATGACAAGGAGAAGTGGTCGGGCGTTGAGCGTATGATCGGGCTGGAGGAGCTGAACGGCCGGCCGCCGCCGCCGCCCACCGCGCCGCCGCCGGCCCCGCACGAGACGGCCGCGCCCGGCTCGTAACCCTCAGGTGCCATGTACCGCCGCAATGTTCTTATCTGTTCTATGTGATATGTAATAAATGTTGAGATCTGAGGCAGGGGCGTTTGGCGGGAATGAAGGGTAAGGGGTAAGGGAAGGGGCCGGAAGGGAAAGGGATGGGGTTGTGGTTGAGGAAGCGGGTGAGGCAGACAGAGGAGAGAGGCAGCGGGTGAGGCTGGGAGAGGGATGAAAGGGGCTAGCCGAAGGGCGACGATAGGACTGGGCAAACAACGGCCGTCCCCAAAGATCGTTGCCGCTACATTCTAGCACGACTGCGATTTGCACCACACACATAATTTATCAGCCAGGATCCATTTTCAACGAGCTATTCCACTCCCACGCTGCCATAGCAACATTCAATGCCAATGCCGCGGTCTTCATAGCAGACATGTGCTTGGATCCGGAAAAATGGATCTGAGATCCGATCCCATGGATCCCGATCCAAGATCCATTCAGATCATAGATCCAATCCCTCAATTTTGTCGAGAGATCTACTGGGATCATAGATCTGACCCTTCAATTTTGTCGCTAGATCCACTCGGATCATAGATCTGACTCCCCAATTTTGTCGTGAGATCCATTGGGATCATAGCTCATAAGTACTCAAAATGTTAACAACTTTCTTTCATAAGAAGTTATGAATACCAAAGTATGGTTAGAAACAAACAATATTATACGAAGGCCATATTAGTAAAGGCATCCAGTTACATTATACAGAATACAAAATAAAGGAGGCTCATGACTGTCACAACTTAAAAGAATTGAATGACATGAAGATTGTTCACATACCAACAGAAAAGTTTGCATTAACAATTAACATAGAGGTAAGTCAAAGTAATGACTAATGAACAATACATTACTAGGTACCTACCACATCACAATTCATGTTAGAATCTACATAATGATATTGATAACTTGATAAGACAATCTTGCATTATACAACCATGAGGCCTTCCAGTTTCCAGCTCAAGCAAACACAATTGATTGATAAACAATAAAAGATGATACTGACACATGTGGTTTGGCTAGGTAAAGGTATTTCAATCTATTGAAAGAAATATTTGATAAAATAAACTGAGATATAAACCAAAGCATAAAAATATTCAACAGCCTGTGGAGGCGATGGGAAGCGAAATATCAATTGTAATGGCCTTTGATATTTACCGTAAAATGATTATTCAGTATCTAAATAGAACTCGTGACGTCATTTCAAATTACAAATGATCTAAGCGTTCTACCTTCGAGTATAATGAAATAAGTAAAAAATCAAACTGGAAATTCAAAAGCCCTGGAGTTTTTTCAAAAGAATGTTCATTTTTTCTGCCTCACATAATTTTACGATACGATTGTTTGTGAATATCATCTTTGTAGCGTTGAATTTAATGACGTAAACGTAAGCTGAAACGGTATTACATGGCCTTGACCCGGGTGCGCGCCTTGCATCTTTATTTTATTCACTTTTCAAAAGAATCACAATATCTTACGTCATAAGTTTGAAGGGCCTATTACGGGGAATCTTTTGGAATCATTACGGTTTTAGTCAAATTAAGATTTATCATTGGTCAAACGATAATGACGTAATAAAACAATATTACCAAAACGTGAGCTGTGAATTTCGTTTGTCTTTTTTGGGAGGCTCTCTCATAACGAAAGCACACAGCATGGCACCACACGTGGCACGATGCCAAAAGTAGGTGATCTGAAGAAGTTGATGCCATTTTTGGGACGACGGTGAAAACAGGGCGCCTGGGGCGATTTGATCAAGGTTCGTGAAATTCGCACGTGACGTTTCGTATGTAGAAGGCCCACGTTAGGGGGAGAAGTTCCAAATGTCACGTGACTAATATGCCCTCCGGCGCCCTGTTTTCACCGGCGTCCCATTTTTGAACTTGTAATTTTATTAGGAAAGTATTAGAGGTTGGTTGCTATTCTTACTAAATCGAAATTGTGTTGCACAGTGACTAATAGCTCATACGAACATTCTGGATTGTGATTTCATACCTGGCAGAAGTGGATTGCTGGATTATTTTTAACAAAACTGACCTATTTGGCTTCCAGGTTTGTTTTCCTAACATCTGTCCATAGGCGGCGGAACAGGGGGGGGGGGGGGCACCAGGGTACAGTACCCCCTATAGATTTTGGCATTTTAACATTAGCCCTACTGGCCTTGCATGGAAAGAAATAAGAATGGGACCAAAATGAAAATCTGCAGTGCCCCGCTGCCACTGCCTCTGTCTGTACTGTTTGTTCATTGAATTAAAGTGGCTGTAGCTTGTTTCTCAGATTGTCATCAGTGCTGTCATGAAAAAGTTACAATTGGTCACAAAAAGTAGCAATGTGCATGTTCTTGGTTTATTTTAAAGATAGTACAAATGTTGTTGATTTAAATTCAAATTTAATGATGATACCTAATGATTACAACTGGTCTTAACCATGTTCACAAGTGACAATTCTCAATTGTATTGCACTGTAAGGTGTACAATTATGTAGGATAAGGGTTTCATTGGCTACATGTTGTCGTGAGATCCATACAGATCATAGGTCCTCCACAAATTTTTGCCCGCTGGATCCACAGAGATCATAGATCCGACCCCTAAATTTTGTCGAGAGATCCATTCGGATCATAGATCCAACCCCTGAATTTTGTCGAGAGATCCACTCGGATCATAGATCCAACCCCTCTATTTTGTCGAGAGATCCACTGAGATCATAGATCCAGCTCTCGGATCCATGCACATGTCTGCTTCATAGTCAGTTGGCCGATAATCAGTCATGGTTAGAGCTGACCTTTGCGCCTTTACCGAATGCACCAGGGTTTTACACAATTACTTTCAAAACGAACACGAGAGAGCACTAAGACGAGCTGTTTCGAATTCAAGTGAGATTTGTTAGAAGCGGAAGTCTCAGCGCCGATGTTTACCGTAACTATCTTCGAGAAGGCCGACCCTCTGCTGTTAAAAATCGCCTCTCGGTACCCGTCGTCGTTAAAAATCGATCACTCATCAGCCGAGGCGGCCGGGACCATCCATCAGACCTCTCATCGCTCGTATCGAGCGGCCCATCTCGGGTTGGTGGGTGGCGGGCCAGTCGATCACATGAGGCCGTTGCTGGAGGGTGTTTGGATACCTGGACCGATCGGTAGGCGCTAATGACGACCGATGGCCACCATCAGCTGACTAATTGACGTCATCGAACACAAATGACGCCAGAGAAACGCTACACCAGACATTGTCCCTGTAAACACTTCAGATTGGTCATTGTGATTAGCGAAATGGGAGAGGAAATTAATAAAATGATAGAAAACGCAATGTCTCCTAAAGACACTCATGCTACAATCATTACCGGCCTCTCTCCGTAATTGAAAAGTGGTTAATTGTGGAAATTTTTTAATCTCTTAAATGTGGTTGAGGCGCAAAAAATGTGCCTGCATTCATAGGTACCGAAATATTTTGAATGCTTCTTTCTATTGGCAAAGTAATAAGACGTTTTAAACTCACCCTCCACTTGACCTGGCTTGACCTTTGAGACAATAATTTGTGGTGCTTTACATATTTAGTCAAGTACTGGTGTAATCTTTAAGCTCGTGGCACATTTATAATCTAAGCAACGAAATATTCCACACGTGATGAGCCTAAATAGAGCGGCATTCCACCTATTTACAGGGTGAATGTCCCCGTCTGCCTCCCTGGTATGTATGTATGTATGTATGTATGTATGTATTGACGATCAAGAGCAATCCACAATCGGCGTGGCGATTACACTCCGAGTCCTTCACAGCCCGAAGACCCTCCATTGAAAGCCTCCATTGACAGCGCCCGGGAAGCCTTTCGAGCACATCCGTGCTATCTTTTAGCTGAAATGAGCGTTTTCTGGAAGTAAATGGGTCGTCTTCGACTTGCGCTTTCATCTATGGCTCACGGGAGTCTAATCTTGAAGGAGACGCTCCTCTAAAACACAGCTGGCTATCAAGATTAAAAACAGAGCCGCTTTGAAAGGGAGGATGAATGCACCGGCATGCCAACTGCCGCCAGTAAAATGGCGATGTTGAAACAAAAATCAGGGATGGATTCTGAAGCTAGAAAATGGCTAGACGTCTTTCTAAAACCAGATTAGGGATATTTTTAATGCAATTTATATGAAGTAGGACATTCTCTTGAAATAAATGAAAATAAAGAAGATGTCAGTGAAATTCATTAAAAATATATATTTAACTTGTCTACAGTAATAAAAAACTATTGAAACTGATGAACACTCACTGAAAATTAATAAAACGAAAACGTCTCCGGATCCCGATTAGACCGACCGCTGAGTCCTGCTCCTATAAAAAACCTGTATTGTCCTGTCCTATAACCTGTATTGTTAATATCCACAGAGTTCAAAGTTTAAAAAACCTGTATTGCTCCTGTCCTATAACCTGTATTGTTAATATCCACAGAGTTCAAAGTTTAATGATCTCCCGAGCTGGCTCTCATCGTTTTCACTCAGTTTTTTAAGCGAACAACTGAGCCTAAAGCACGTGCTCTCTGCTCGGCGTCGGCCTCGGCCAGCCTGGGGCAGAGATGCACGCGCTGACGCCGCACCCGTGGTCCGATTGCGCCCATCTTTTGATACGATGGTCCGCCCCACCCAAAGTTTGTGGTCACCAAATTTCACGTCGCTACGCTACGGACGACTTATGATTTATAAGTCGTCCGTGCGTTCTCCATCCATCCATCCGTGTGTCAGGCCTTATGTGTCTTATTGCGCCTGAAAGGCGCCGCGTATCGACGTGAAATTTGGCATGCCGAATCTGTGGGCGTGGGCGGCCTTTGTATTAAAATTTGGGCGTGATCGGGCCAGGGGTGCGCCGTCGCCACGTGCAAAAGGGTGCTCTCATAGGGATAGCATGGTGTCGGCGAGAGCGGCGGTCGGCCGAAAATCGGGCCGACACGGCTCGCTTTCCGGCTTGATATCTCGGCAACGGGTGATTGCAGCGAGAAGCGGTTGCCACCAATGGATAGAGGAGAGATGGAACTAGCGTATTGATATGGTTTCATAGTATAGCACGCGTCACG